CTACTGACGGATCTACAACCTAATCTAAATTTCTCTGACGACTTCATAGTTCTTATTTTGTTAGATCAACAGTTCAAACACTAAAATGTCAAGCTCCTGTCTCACAAAGCAGAAATGCAGTGCATCTGCAAGCCGCTTTGGAGCCCACCTCTGTCACTGACACCTGCTCTGTACTGCTCTCCCCACTTATACATACTGCAAGATGAGGATATCTCAGAACACAGCTATACTACCAAATAGAAAATTTCACAGATGCAAATAACAACTGGGGTTGGGCCCTTTTACTGAACTGTATTTATTGATGTTTGTAAAGCTGGACCTTTGTCTGTCTGTCTTATAAAACCTGTGACTCTTTGGCAGGACTATTTATAGTTTCCATTCACTGCTGCAGTTGTCAGTCTGGTGGATGTGTGACTTTATTAGTCACACTTCCACCAGACTTGATATTTTAAATTTCAGCATTTGTATGTTATTGACTTTTATCTCTAAGATCTCCTTAAATTATTGTTGTTATAAGAGTCTCATAATTACCAGTTTGAGTTTTTTGGGAGTAGCAGGTTTTTGATTTTGTTGTACAAGTAAGTGCAAATTTGTTGACTAACTGTCATACCCCTCTCACTGACTAACTAACACATGAACTTATATGTCATCAAATAATCGTTCACTTTTCAAGTAGCCTGAGGACTGAACTGTAAGTGCTTTGTTCCTTCTCTCGCTATCTCTCTATCTCGCTCGCTCTCTTTTCCCTCCCTTTTCTCGGGCATAACAAGTGTAAACAGTTCATCCACAGAACAGGATCCAGGATGCACTGCCTCATTTGCATTAGACATCTTAGAAACAGACACCACCCTTTTTTCCTCCTTCCGTTCTTTCTTTCTTTCTTTCTTTCTTTCTTTCTTTCTTTCTTTCTTTCTTCTTTCTTTCTTTCTTTCTTTCTTTCTTTCTTTCTTTCTTTCTTTCTTTCTTTCTTTCTTTCTTTCTTTCTTTCTGTCTTTCTTTCTTTCTTTCTTTCTTTCTTTCTTTCTTTCTTTCTTTCTTTCTTTCTTTCTTTCTTTCTTCTTTCTGTCTCTTATGCAAATGAAAAAATATTCATTTTAGCACAGATACTCTTTGTGCAGGTGTGCATGCTGGCAGGCTCCTCGTTGGATTGTCTGTCTCCAGCAAGAGAGCCTGAGGACATCTGTCACCACATGCTCAACAGAGAAACTGCTGCACCTCAGGAGACAAATACTCATTATACTAAAAATGACAGTTGTGTCACGATAATGTCTTTAGGAACCATTTGTCACTGAAACATATCTTAACTGTCATCTTATAAATCTTCTGGAAGCACCACCAAACGAAGTGCTTTGCCCCAAATTAGGGATGTTTTTTTAAATAAGTAAAATCTTCTGCCTAACTCACAGGTGTCGAACTCCAGGCCTCGAGGGCCGGTGTCCTGCAGGTTTTAGATGTGTCCTTTATCCATCACAGCTGATTTAAATAGCTAAATTACCTCCTCAACATGTCTTGGGGTTCTCCAGAAGCCTGTTAATGTGTGCTGACCCAGGGTGAGATCTAAAACCTGCAGGACACCGGCCCTCGAGGCCTGGAGTTCAACATCCGTGGCTTAACTGAACAGATGTTATGAAGTGGGAAAATATGTTTGTTAATTTGATCATTCAGTACCACTTGCAGACCCAGTGCTTACAGAACAGCACAGTATTCAGAGGAATTAAATCAGTTAAAAATATAATTTAAAAGATCCAACATGTGCGACCTTCCATCCATTGTTAGTGCCAGTACACGACGTAGCATGCCTTTTATGCAGAGATGACATCTGCAAGATTCAAGCTTGCAGTCACACATTCACGATGTACTCCTCCCAATTCATGAACATATTTTGTTGCTTAACTCCAGACGTTACTACTGCAAAGACCTCCTCTAAGCAGTGCATTCATGTCCTATGTGATATGCTCGCGTACATCTCCAGACATGTTTAGGCCTCTTTCTTGGATGATGTGGTCTTCTTGTGTCCCCAATGAGCTTGTTTGCAAGAGCTTGTTACTTGTTACTGTTACTTTTGGTGTGGTAAATACTACAAGTATCAACTCACTGTGCACTGATGTAAGAGCAATGCATTCACAGGTAGATATACTCTATAGAAGGCTAGATATATAAATAAAAGTGAAATAAATAAGATGTGAGGTAATCGTAAAGGAAAGTTTGTGTTTGGTAATACAAAATTACTTCACGAGTACTTGTAATCTAACAATTACTATTTAATCCCAATAATTCTGTAGTGTAACCAGCCATTTGTAACCCAACACTGTATTCCACAAACAAGGTGCATCCATGTTGCAGTCATGGTCTGAATGACATGAATACATTGGTATATTCCAGCGTTTGTTTCCATGTTTTCCTCTTTTACTTTTGTAACTTTGGAAAAGTCTTATGAACTTAATTGATCACCATACTCACCATAGAAAAAAGCCACAAAAATCAGTGGCTATTCATACTTATTTCATACTATTCAACACAGATATTTCAATTACTTTTTACAAGTCTGATGTGCATAATTATGTTGACAAAGAGTTGGTTATATCTGATAAACTTTATCAATTTTATGAGATTAAATCTTTAAAAGAAAATGATACACAGAAGTGTGTGGGAAAATCCCAGAATCTGTAACCAAAATCTGGGGCTGTTATGGTCATTTGTAGAGGAGAATATTTTATTGTGACATCCAGACTGTTATCAGCAGTCAGTATCTGTTTTCAAAGAGTCCCATGTCTGGAAACTCGGTCAGCCCAGGGTTACAGATTACAGATGAAAGGTTACAAATGTAAGGGTCACATCTGAATTTTTTCTCTCTTTGGTGCTGAAATTGCTCGAGCTGCTGCACTGTTGCCCCTTCAAACCTTTAAGTCACAGTGTGTTATCTGTGGATAGACTCTAATCAGTTTTCCTTCACCAAAAGTCTGGAATGAATGTGACCACTATCAGCGAGGTCTCCTGATTACTATGAGTGACATTATAGAGTCAGGTTAGTCATACCTGGAACACCTTCTTGTATGCGTGTGTGTGTGTGTGTGTGTGTGTGTGTGTGTGTGTGTGTG